GAGGGAAGGAGGGAAGGAGAGAAGGAGAGAAGGAGAGAAGCAGAGAAGCAGAGAAGGAGAGAAGGAGAGAAGGAGAGAAGCAGAGAAGCAGAGAAGGAGAGAAGGAGAGAAGGAGCGAAGGAGGAGGAGGAGGAGGAGGAGGAGGAGGAGGAGGAGGAGGAGGAGGAGGAGGAGGAAGGGGTTCAGTTGACGGAGCCCTGGAGACCACGGGATCTGGCAGAATGCGGCAGAGCCCTCAGGCCAGGGTAGTTTGGGAGGAGGGGACCCTGCCGCTGGCCCGCGGCGGTGTCCGTCAAGCACCGTCGTGGTGACAAAGCTCTCGCTCCGACGGACCTCCGACTGGTTCTGATCTGTCAGGGCTGAGGGGCCTCTCTCCCCCTCCCTCCCCCCAGCTCCGCAAACGAAAACGCTTGGGCACGCAAAGACCGATCATTTCATCGGGCCCCAGCGGGGGCTCGCCTCGGAGGCATTGGAGGTGCCTGCGGGCACCCCAGGAAAGGCACTTCGGAGGTGCCTGCGGGCAGCCCAGGAAAGGCACTTCGGAGGTGCCTGCTTGATGCGTCGCGGTGACAAAGCTCTCGTTCCGATAGGCACCCGACCGGTTTTGATCTGTCAGGACTGAGGGACCTCTCTCCCCCTCTCATGGCGTCAACATCGCAGAGCGGATTTCGTTCGGAAAACGATACATCGGGTGGGCCTGGGGTGTCCTGGGAATTTCGCTTTGGATTTCGAGGTGGATTTCATGCGGATTTCTTTTGGCCAGGAATGAAGACCAAACAGAATTCACGCGAAATTCACTTCGTTTTTCGCTCGCCGCTTCGGGCAAAAGTCCGCGCAGAAATCCGCGCAGAAGTCCGTTGCAGCACGTCTGCAAGGCCGGTGCAATGACCCTTCTTCCCTTGATGCTCGCGCAGGAGGCCAGGCAAGCAAAGACGCGCAATGACGCCAGCGCGCGGGCCCGAACAGACAGGCTCATGCAGGCCCGACGGCCTGGACCCGATGGGCGCGACCCAGATCAACCTGTGGTGGTCCCTTGGCACGAGCCTTGGCGCAAACGCCCTGCGCGAAGCAGTTGCAACGCGAGAGAGTGGGGGGAGGCAGCGAGGGCTGCAGACAAGGAGCTAGCTCTCTAGGGCCCCGGAAGGATTCCTTTCGGGCCCCAAAGGGGGCCTTTGGGGCGGGTACCTTTCTTCCCCCCCATTTTGTGATCGTTTTTTCCATCGGTGTGGGCCCTCGACCCCCCCCCCCCATGGAGTAGATCCTGGCTGTTTTTTTGGCGCCTGTTTCGAGTGGATGGAGTCTCCCCCAGAGGCCGCACTCTTGCAAAACAGTCGCACTGAGCAGAGGTCTGGAGCCAGACCCCCCCTTCCCCCCCTTCCCCCCCCCTTGCCGCCCAATGCCGAAACGCCGAATAAATAAGCGCTCATTTTTAGCCCTCCATTAACCGTCGACTCCCAGGAAAATCTGGGAAAATATGGGAAGTGGGGGGGGAAGGCGACAACCCAGAAAACATGGGAACATATGGGGAATCCTGGAATTTGTGTGTATTTAGCTGTGTGTCCCCGGGCTCCTTTAATCCCAACAAAAAAAAAAACACGCTCCCGCTCCGCCTCCTCCGCTGGGGCCTCCTCCTCCTCCTCCTCCTCCTCCTCCTCCTCCTCCTCCTCCACAACCTCCCCCTCCCCCCCTACACAAACACGCCCCACGGCCGCACCCCAGAGGGGGGCGCGGCACGGCGGGTCCACCTGCAGCCCGCCGAGAAGGCGGAGTGCCTGGAGCTGCTGGACCGCGAGCAGAGCCTGGCCTTCTCGGCGACTGCACCGGGTGTGGTCACAGTCGGGCCGAGGTATGATCGGAGGTTGATAGACCTCCTACCCTGACACGTCGATGAGCGAATTTGCCGTTTCCGGTTCGCGAGAGGGCGTCGCGGCCGTCACTCACTTTAGCGGGTCCAGGTCCGTCGGTTTCGGTCCTAGGCCGTTTTCACTAAAGGGTGATTTACTAAAGGGGGGTTTGCCCACCGCCGATATCAGATCAAGGTCGGTTCGGGGAGGGTACCAAGTTCGGGGGCGGCAAAGAGGGGGGGGATGACTAGGGGCGGATATCACATAGCGTGGGCCATGATCTCTCCCCAGAGTTCATGGCGCCTCTTCTCATTTCATTACGTCCCCGGCCCCCCCACCTGGGCCGCGCACATGCCGCCGGCCATGATTTGCACACCCCACTCTTGGACGCCCCCCTCTTGGCCGCCCCGAAAGATCAAGTTCTGTGCGGGTAGGGTACCAAGTGTTCTTCGTGTTTCTTAGATGTTTTGGTGCATGCTGTCAGGCGATCGCAAACATGGATCGAGGGGGCGTGGGTTAGCGACGGGTCCCTTTTCCATGGGAAATCGCGGATTTCCGACGTGCCTGCACCGAGGGAAGAAGATTTCGATCTCGGTGATGGTGGCAATATTCTGGCTTCCAAGGTGACCGAAACATTACCACCAACACCGAAATCTAGGATCAGCTTCCGCCATGTGGAGGCAACCCACTGTGTTGGTGTTGGTGCTCATTTCCAGGCCTCCAAGAGGTATAAGATCAAGGTCGGTTCGGGGAGGGTACCAAGTGTTCTTCGTGTTTCTTGGATGTTCTGGTGCAACCTGGGGAGTGTACCCTCAAATGCCCTTCATTTTGGCTGGCGGAGGGCCTCGTGTTCTTGAAGGATGCTCTTCTTCCTAGGTTATACTGTGCTCGAAGAAGCAAACACGCACAACCACCAACTTTTGGAGCTCCGAGGGATTTCTTGCATCTGCGCCGGACCCCCCCCCCTGGCGCGCGGGCCGCGCCAGGGGCGGCGCCAGAGGCGCCGCCGGGGGTGTCCAGCGCAGATCCAAGAATTCTGCGCGGACCGTCGAAAGTTTATATGTATGCAGTGCTGTCTCCCTCTACAGTGGAGGCCCATGCCAAGAAACACCCTGCTCGCCTCCAGGGTGCCCTCGGTTTCTTGGGTTTCGATGGTTTTTGCCATGGAAAGCGTGACGTTCCCGCACCAAAAATCAATTGACGTCCTGGGGTCTCAGGGTTGGGTTTCTTGTGGAAGGTTTCTTGTGCACTAGCCTCCACTCTAGTCACGCTGGAGTGTGGTCTGCGACCTGCGCCGTTGGCGCTCAAGGGCCACCACGCTGCGTCAAGGGCTTGAGGAGCCCTCGCCAGGGCGCGGCGCAGACCTCGGTCGAGGTCCTCGCCCGCCCTGGCGAGGGGCTGCACGCCACACCCTTTGCATACAGTGGGGACCCGTGCCAAGAAACACCCTGCTTGCCTCCAGGGTGCCCCGGGCTTCTTGAGTTTCGATGGTTTTGCTGTGCAAAGCGTGACGTTCCCACTCGAAAAATCAATGGACGTCCTGGGGTCTCAGGGTTGGGTTTCCTGTGGAAGGTTTCTCGTGGTCGGACCCCTATTCCAAGTTTCTTACAAGCGTCGGGGGGGCGTCACCCCCGCCGACAGCCCCGCATCGACTCCCGTCGCGGGCAGCCACTGCGCGCCGAAGGCGCTCCGACCCCCGTCGCGGCGCGACGACGAGGCGAGATTGACCCCCGTCGGGGGGGTACCCCCCCCACGCTCAGCACGGGGGGGACCCCCCCCCACGCTCACTAAGAAGCCCAGAGCACTGCACCGCACCCTTCGGAGTCGCCGACCTTCGGCATCGTGCAGCGGCACGAGCGGCAGCGCCGCGTCGCCTCAGACGACGAGGGCGGCGCCTGGGTGCCGGCCGCGGGCGCCCAGGCGGCGTTGGGCGGCGAGGTCGCGAGGCGCGGGGGGAGGAGGAGGTGCCCCGACGTGCTCGCGTCGCCGCAGAAATCCGCCTGGCGATCGCAAACATGGATCAAGGGGCGTTTCCACGGGAAATCGCGGATGCCCGCCGCCGAACGAGGCGGCACCGGTCGAAGCAACAAATTCGGGCCACCTGCGGGGGCGCGAAGGCGATCGCGCGTCGCGGCCAGGGCCAGAGGAGCGCCCTTTCAGGGCGGCAGCACGAGGGCGCGGAGGTACCGAATTTCAGAAATGTGGCAAATCCCATGTGTTTTTGGACCCTGACCCCGCGGATCTGCGTGAGGGGTGTCGATTTCGAGCCCCCCCAGCAATTCAACCCGCGCGTCGCGCATCGCGGGGCGCGATGCGCGAAGGTAAGGTGACCTAAGAGATCACGTCGGGGGCGTTTTCGTTGTTCTCGGCCTCCGTGGACCCTCGCCGGGCCCCTGAACCGTCGGAAAAACGACTGGAGATGAACAACTGGTCCCGGGGAATGGGTCGAGACCTCTGGGGGCTCGATGTGTTGAACAACATTACGCCGAGGGTCCAGGTTCCGCTACCCTCGTCCGAGCGCAGCTCCCCTGAGGTCCGGGCAGTAGCGGTATCGGTGCCTCTTTCAGGCGGGTTAGGACAGGGATATACCGTTCCAGAGCGTTTCAGAACGCTCTCAGAGCGTTCCGGAACGCTCCGAGAAGGCCGCGGCGTCCGATATATCCTCCAGAGCCGCTGGATCTCAGAGATCTCCGATTTGTCCTGGTCCGATGTTGTCCCTGTGTTGGCTTCATCTTACTCTTGGTACCCCGAGGCTCCCGCGGCGGAGCAGCCCCGCGGACGAGCTCTTCATCCCGGCAGAGCACGCCGCCGCGGAGCTCAGCGGCACCGCAAGGGGTATTCGCCAACGGTTTCTTTGTTCGAAGAAGACAAAAACAAAACACATAAACATAAATTTTCGGCGCTCCGCGCGGATTTCTTGGATCCGCGCCTGAGTCCCCCGGCGGCGCCTCCAGCGCCGCCCCTGGCGCGCTTCGCGCGCCAGGGAGGGGGAGCCAGCGCGAATCCAAGAAATCCGCGCGGAGCGCCAAAAGTTTATGTTTATGTGGTTTTCACCTTCGGGCATTTCACCACTGCCCGTGTTGGGAAGGGTTGCTTTCGTTGTGTCGCCGTTTATTGGAGCCTTCGTGTTGCGTCGTACCGTGCCCTTTCCGTGCC